TTGTGGGGCTCCTCCAGTTGCAGTTCCAGCTGCCAAGCCGCCTGTGCAAAACAAAAAAAAAACTAAGACAGCAGAAACTTGGTGGCATGACTTGCTGGAAGATTTGTGTGCGGAAGAGCCGTCAGCCCCAGATCCACCAGACGGCGATGTTTTTTGGCATGGATTTTTGTTTGTGTTCTGGGGTTGTTTCGAAGATGCATTGAATCTTTTGGACATGTTCCACTTGCATCTTAAAATTGACATGACATGACATATGACATATGTTTATCTTAGAGTAGTTGTTTGTGCCTGCGTCTCAAGATTTCCATCTGAAACTGTTGACTATTGACGGTTGCTGCAAACATTTGAAAACTTGATCGTTGATAATCATTGCCAAATGACCTTCTGAAGTTTCAACAAGTGATGTCAAGTTTTCAAAGAGTGATTTTTGTGATGATATGATTTGATATTGTGATATTTTGGCCTTATTGGATTATCACATGTTATCGGTTGATTTTTAATCTTATCATCAGTATCAGTACCAGTATCTATCAGTAATCAGTGCAATATTTTTAATCTGATTATGCTAAAAAAACAGTAACATGTCACCTGGTCCTTTCTGAGCTGATTGATTCCCTCAGGGAAGTGTCGAACTGGAGAACGAGCTCTTAAACCCTTTGCAAGCTCTTTTGGACGAAGCTCTCGGCGCAGAAGATCTTGATGCAGCAGTCAACCAGGATGGAGGGTCCAAATTTTACATAGACATAGAATTTGACTCTGAATATGATAATCAATTTTGCCACTATCCTGTGTTTGGATTTGTTTTGTTGCAGCTGCCTGACTTTTGTGGCAAGCCAGGGTAGAGTGTAGAGTTGAAGGGAACTACGATATGTCAGGATGCTGACTTTGTGGACGCCGGTGAGCAAATTGAGATGCCAGATGACGAAGACATTTCAGATGCCGACAATGGTGACATTGTGGGAGGAGCTGCAGCTGCACGCCCGGTGCAGCCGCCTGCTGCGCCTGCAGCTGGCCTGCGTATTCATGATGATGGGCGATGGCATTTTTTTACAGCCAATCGCACAGATGTGGGCTGGTTACATCATTTGGGCGCAAACAGTATCAAAGCAACTTGCAAGCTGCACAAGTCATGCACTTGCGCCATTTCCCAGCCAACAGATGGTTCTGTGCGTGCGCGTGAGTTGGGAGGGGTCCCTAGTTTTGATGCCATTGCTGCTGATTTGATCACATGGCTGGACGCTGGTTTAGACTTGACTCCGACAGAACATTTGGATGCTGCGACAGTTCTCAGGAGAGACAAATGGAAAATGAGAATTCGACAGAAAGCAGACTAGAACAGTTAGAAGCTCTTAGAGGAGTCATCATGGACGAGGGCTTGAAGATGTCCAGGCTTGAGTGATCGTTAGACATGCTGATATGAATATGCCAATGTGCATTGGCCGCAGTGATCCAAAGCAGACGGTGAACGCATGATTCAGCATAGTCGAAGCGTTCATCCAGAGTTTTGTTGCTTGTTTTGCTAGAAGGGCCAGTGCAGTCACATTACCCAGAAATTGAAATTGAATATTGTGTTTGTTGATGCATTTTGACTTTTCTCACTTCTGCAGATTGTTAAGTTAAGGTATTTGGAAATGGTAGTTGGCAATTGGCGTTCGCGACCATGAGGCTTGGCAATGACAGTCTTGTCAGACTTGTGACATGTGTTTTTGAAGTGGAACAAGTTGCTTCATCATCAGAAGTTGCAGTGTATTTTTGTTGTTAGTACCTGGTGTTATCCTGCATCATCCTGGTATGATTTGATTTGCTTTGATTTGATGTGATCTGTGCAGTGATATAGTGAGTGATAAGCGATGTATAATAGTCTAATAGATAGTGCTAATAACTAATAATGACAAATAATAATAGTGGAATCCTAATCTTAGTCTCAGTCATACTTGAATGATACGAGTGATACTGACACTGACACTGATACTGACCACTGACACTCAAACGAAACGATGATACTGTATACTGAATACTGTATACTGAATACTGATATTGTTTACTGTTTACTACTGTTACCACCCAGGCACATGTGAAACAGGAAGTATTCAATTGAGTTTGTGTTTGCTTGGTGTCGCTTTGTTTCCCTTTTTTACTTCTTCCAAGGTGTGCAGATTCTTCACTGGCCCGGCCTTTGCTACCACAAGGCGTGGCCACGACAGTCTTTTCAGGCTTTTGGTTTTGGAAGTGTAATGAATTGTTTCATCATCATAAGTTGCAGTGCTGCATTGTCGTTGTTAGTATGTAGTGGCACACGGCATCCAGCCCGTATGGCTTGATCTGATATTGTTCGAAATGAAATTAACTTGCGTCATATGATTATATGGTTCTATTGATTATATGATAAATTATATGAATTTTATGGTGTGATGCTGAGTACTGATGCTGATGTTGTTCCCACCAAGGAAAGGGTGAATATTTATTGAGAACTTAAGACGTTTGTTTTTCCATTTCATGGTGTGTGGAACATATTTGTGACACAGTGTGTGTGTGGACAGTATAGTATGTTGGCAGATGCATGAATTATAGTCATGAATCATGTCTGCATGAATGAGGCAGGAATGAACAATCGCATCATGACATGCGCGGACACAAGTTGCAGACAACCTGCGGACACACGCCAGGACAACATGGGGACACTGGTGGACAGTATAATGCGGACATTTATGCGGACAGTGATGCGGACAAAGATGCTGACACTGATGCGGACAAAGATGCGGACACTGATGGGGACAAAGATGCGGACACTGATGCGGACAAATATGTGGACACTGGTGCGGACAAACATGCGGACACTGACGCGGACAAAGATGCGGACGCTGATGCGGACAAATATATGCGGACAAAGATGCGGACACTGATGCGGACAAATATGCGGACACTGATGCGGACAACTTGCGGACACTGATGCGGACAAATATGCGGACACTGTCGCGGACAACTTGCGGACACTGTCGCGGACAACTCGCGGACAAAGCGCGGACAACTCGCGGACAACGTGCGGACACTGACGCGGACAACTCGCGGACAAAGCGCGGACAACTCGCGGACAACTTGCGGACACTGACGCGGACAACTCGCGGACAAAGCGCGGACAACTCGCGGACAACTCGCGGACAACGTGCGGACACTGACGCGGACAATTCGCGGACAAAGCGCGGACAACTCGCGGACAACTTGCGGACACTGACGCGGACAACTCGCGGACAAAGCGCGGACAACTCGCGGACAACTTGCGGACACTGACGCGGACAAAGTGCGGACAACTTGCGGACACTGATGTTTGTAACATGAGTTTTCCCTTTTTAAATAGATAGTTTCTAAACAGTCATCTATCTATTTGTCTTATTTTGAAGCATTTTTAAGACCAATTGTCCACAACTTCAAGGCCATTTGTCCACAACTTTAGGGCCAATTGTCCACAACTTTAAGGCCATGAGTCCACAACTTAAAGGGCCAATTGTCCACAACTTTAAGGCCAATTGTCCACAACTTCAAGGCCACTTGTCCACAACTTTCGGGCCAATTGTCCACAACTTTAGGGCCAATTGTCCACAACTTCAAGGCCAATTGTCCACAACTTTAGGGCCAATTGTCCACAACTTTAAGGCCATGAGTCCACAACTTAAAGGGCCAATTGTCCACAACTTTAAGGCCATGAGTCCACAACTTTAGGTCAGTTGTCCACGGCTTGAAGGGTGATTCAAAGCGTAGATAGCAACCAGTTTGACAGACAACCAATTGAACACAGTTGGAAGGGTGGGCAGTCTAAACCCTAAATGGATCTAAAGGGTTTGGCAGTCTTGGACAATGAGGGAACGGCTTGGGATCAGTAGGCAACAATTTCAAAACTAAAACCTAAACACTTCGGCACAGTTGGACGTTGGACAGCCCTGGGCTCTTGGGCCACAGTGTGCAGACTACACACTCAACAACTTGTCCGCTTCGGACAATAATCCTTTTGGTACGTTTGGGCCTTGCTACCGGCTTGATTAGGGTTCGGGTCCACGTGGAAAGTGTGCTTTTGGGGCGCTGTATGGTTGCAGACACATTGCAGGTCCTGGCCAAACAGAAAGCTTGTCAGCTGGCTTTCAGGAGAGTTGTCGGGGGAGGGGTTTGGAAGAGAGAGCAGGTGAAGATCACCAATAACAGGTGAAGATGACCAATGCTGAACTGTTTCATTGATGGATAACATGGGATGTGATAGACAGGCACCTGGCAACTGCAGATTTTACACAGGAGACAGTGAGTCATATGTCAAATATCCATTGGTAGCTGTTTTGGTTTGATAGTTGGTTCTGTGACTTCGTTGGCTATTAACAATTAATATTTCAGTGTTAAATGATGACGACATTGTTTGACAATACTGACTCTTAGACTGTGACTCTTCAGATGAGTGCCTATGGCACTGCCGCATGCTTTCAGGAGTGCTAGTTGCACTTCGCAGCTCTTTGGCGTGCTGAGGCAGTGTTGGGCAGTGCAGTGAACCAAGACTAAGAAGGTTCTTCTAAGTTTTTTTTCTCCAGATGAACACTTGTGACATCTTCTGACTCATGACTCATGACCATGGACCATGGACTTGTGACATGTGACAAAATAGAATATTCTTCAGATGCATAACTGACACGGCAGACTGAACGGGGTCAGCATAGATGACAGATTGATTTTAGCATCCGCTCCAACCAGTGATTCTATATTTCCACAGTGCCGCTGGTTCTCAACAATGGCATCTGGAAAAGATGGGTTTGTGCAACAACAGGAACATGATACAGTCAACATGTGCAGATGTGGGCTGGAGACTTGTGGAGTGGCATTATCAGAGTTTCTGCGCATTCCCATTCATGTTCTGCAAACACCACCATGATGATTGTCAGAAACACTGGCTGTTGATCTTCGAGCCATGGTCCCATTGACCATTGAGCATTGATCGTACTTCAGAGGCGCGTTTCCTGGTGCTTATGCCTCGGAGGCGAGGACGAGGACGAGGACTAGGACGAGGATCTGCAAAAAAGAAAGCACACACGGCCAAACAGAGCAAGCCACAGTCAAGCACAGGGAGCTCAGTGAAGCGTCCAATCCCTTCGGAAGAGACTGAACCAGACCAAGGTCAGAGTCAGAGTCATAGTGATAGTGCTGCCAATGAGTCTGTAGAAGGACGTGACTCCGAATGTGGTGATGAGGAGGTTTGTGAAGGCGACTGTGAAGGTGAAGGTGTTCAACTAGCTCAGACAAACACTCACACAGACTCATGTGAGCCTTCAGAGCCTGCTGATGACGAATCTCATGAGCTGATGGAAACAATTGTTCCTTTTGCTGTCCCTGTGCCTCATGATGCTTTGTCCCGCCAGTCCAAGCTGGAGCCTGGCGAAAAGTTTAGTGAATCGGGGTATGATGATTTAGCCAAATGGATTGCAGCAGCCTTGGGCAGACTAGGCTCAGATCTGCAGCGGAGTTTGCGAAACTTTCATTTGGCCGAACCGTTGCTCAGTGTGGGCACTGCTTGCTCGGGCACAGACTCCCCTCTCATGATGGCCCGGGCATACGCAGATGCGGTTTGGAAGTACAAAGCCCTTTTGTCCACTCAGACTGGATTCACCATCGACCATGCCTTTAGCTGTGAGAAGAATGATGCTTGACTGACGGAACCCTGGGCAGCCTGGTCATATACAGAAAGTTGATGGCTTTGACTTGGACCAGACTATGAAGCTAGCATACTGAATCATTCATACTACTCATGGCCATGAGTGACTATCAAAGTTTCAGACCATGCAGCTGAGTCTGGCTAAGGTTAATACTGAATGATATATGAATGGCCTGAATGGTGATATACTGGAATCACTTGCAAGTTGAAGTGGGTTGGCTTTGTCGCGTGCGATTTACACGACTGTAGACGAGAGAACTATAGACTATAGACTTCATATGACATACAGGGCTGAGACTGGCCGACTCATTGACCTTCAACATGACCCATGGCCATTGTATGGCTAGGCGATGCCTTTGCCTATATAATATATTAATATAATTTATACACTAAACTAATAGACTATATATATATATTTAATAAAATAAAATATAATATCATATCTGATATGATACATCATTATTACAATTATAATATAATAAATAATATATACTATTTATAATCACAATCATATTTAATAACAATGTAATTATATAATATATGATACTATAATATATTCTATAATTTATAATATATTAAGATTTAAATATTATATATAATATATAATATATATAATATATATATATATATATATAATATATATATAATATATATATAATATATATATAATATAAATATATATATATATATATATTGAAAATACAATATAATGATATAATATATATATATATTTATGATATCATATATCATATATTATCATATTTTCATACATTACATAAAAAACTGAATAAATGAACGATCAATTGTACTTGACTGTGATATAAGTTATTATAGTGTAATTTTCCTGTTTGCTAGATGGTGCGTGTACTGAGGAAAAAAAGAGAGAGTTCCTGATGAAAGTCTTCGAGGACTCAACGCTGTTCAAAGAGGGTATGAGCAAGCTGTTCTTGGACGCAAAGGATCTGCAGGATGGTCCAGGTGCAATGGCAGTCAATGCGGTGTCTGACGCCAGCGAACCCATCCCGATGTGTCACGACCTTTTCGCTGGATTTCCTTGCCAAGACGTATCAAGGTTGAACCCAGATTCACCGAAGAACCGTCAAGTCATCCGAGATAGGGCGCTGAGGACGGGGTCAGTCTTCAATCACGTTGTTGAGTACTTTGACAAGGCGCAGAAGGGTCCAGCCGCCTCACCGTACATGTCCCTGATCCTGGAGAATGTTCTTGGCTTACTTGAGCGACCTCCTGGAACCAATCCCGAGACAGGAACACCTTGGAGAAGCAATCTTGAGTATTGTGCATTGTCCTGCCGCAAGTCTGGGCTGCGTTACCAAGCTGCAGTTGTAAGGCACATGTCAGCAATCAAACATCATCCAGAATCTTCCACAGTTTCTTCCCATATGTCACGTGTCACATGTCGTTGTGTTGCTGTTCAGTTGCTTTCCTGAGTTATGCAGGCATCACGTGAAACATATTTTTATACACACTATTCAAGCAATTTGCAGGAATTGGTTTGTTGTACGACAGCAGATTGATTCAATACGGTCAAATCGAGTCGATGTAACATGTTTCTCATTGCCGGCACGCAGTGATGTGCAGCCAATCGACGTGAGGGATGCTGTCTTTCACATTGGACCCCAGATCCTTTGGAATGCCAGTGTCTCGGCATCGTGTTTGGATGATTTGCATCCGGGAGAGCTTGATCGAGTCAGCCCACATGACCGTTGAAGAGCTCCAAGAACTGGCAAACCAGATTTTGCAGATGCTGTGTGATCCCAACATGCGTGATCTTGATGACTTTTTGCTTCCCGTGAAGCACCACGCAGTTCAAGTAACTTGGGCCAGTGGTGGGTGTTCGCCGGGTAGCCGGGTAGCATCATTGGCGCCAACAGGATTTGAACCCTGGTTGTTTTGACCCTCCCCCCACAATGTGACTTTGGGAAAGGATGGGAAGGGGATGGAGTTACCCGCGCATATGGTAGCCAGTCGTAAGAGCGGGTAATCCTGGGGTGCCAGATGTGTCCATTCAGCAAGGGCATGCGCAGCCCAGTGGTGACTAGACTAGACAGACCATAAAGCGACATGCGCTCAAACTCGAATCATGTGATCATAATATGACAATAGGACTCTTTGATGGGCTATTGACACCTATCCAGGAACCGGCCACTGCATAGTTGTGGGATCGTTTTTTGACACAACACCTGTCGCCAACAAGGCAGAACTTCAGAGGTCACGGGATGCGCTTGAACGAAGACAGGCAGCAGCGCACAAGAATGGACAGGCCCAGACACGCAAGAAAGCCAAGAAATGGCCAGAGGCTCATGCGCAACTCTGCGACAACATGGGCATCGACTGGTGGCTGGACGCGGCTCCGCCTGGTGAAACCTTAGACTTGTACCCAGGCCTTCAACGATTGACAGAACGACAATTCGATCTCTTGCACTTGATGGGGGTGAAGTACCCGGACCCAAGAAAGGCATGTGTGGAGCTGAGCCAAAATCAGCGCAACCCGAAGGCACCCAAGCAAGTGGTTATCAACCGGGCCGACATCATCACCCCTCGAGGGCAGCAGCTTGTCACTCACCAGGCCCGGTGCCTGCTTGGACTTGAAGGTCTTTTTCTTCAAGGCATTCATTACGGAAAAGAACAGTTCAAGGTGGAGGAGTTCGATGACGATTTTCTTCGAGATTTGGCGGGAAATGCCTTCAATTCTTACTGCGCTGCTGCAATCTTCATCACAAAGCAGCACCTTGGACTCCAACAGATAGCGTGATAGTCAGTGATAGTGTAGCATGTTTGTTCCTTATCATTTCATTTATCCATGATTATCCATGTACTGTATTAGTCTTAGTATTATGTATTTGCTAAACTGTTGAAAGTAAATTATGCTCGTTACTGAAGCGAACGGTTTTAGTAATGATCCTTCTGCATTCTTGTCATTCAAATCATGGTTTCCCATTACACAGGATTTTTTTTTGAATTTTAGTTAAATATGCTTGTTTTGGTGTTGATAACCTATTTTTTATGCAGATGCAGATTCATCAGGCCAAACATCCAAGGTCCAACATATAACATATATATATATAAATTACAATCATATGGTCATGATTCATGATCATTGCCATGGTAATCATCACACTGTGGTTACCAAGTACTTACACCAGGATCTATACCCGGCATACCACGCACGGATGCTGGATACAATGTGTTGAATGGTGATAGTGGTGCATCCCACATTATTATCCAAGATCCGTAAGATCCAATAGTGTATATGATATACTCATGTTACATGTTGGTTCATGTCACATTATATGTTCCTGTGATGTTTGGCATCCTGCTTCCTGCCCTTGACCATGCATCCTATTCCTGCAGTTGCCCTTGACCCAAGCCTTTGGGTAAATCCTGAGGTGTTTGCTGGCAGTTTTACGAGAGGCTGCGATTGTTCATGACGGTGATGACGATCTCCTGGTCTCTTTCGAATGAGTTTCAAGTGGCGCTGACTCATCGCGTTGAGCCCATCAGAATCTGTTGTGAAAAGGTGTCAGCTGGTTGGTCTCAGATTGAAGTTGTAAGTCTGTAAGTTGAATCTTGGCAGGGGAGCACAACCGTAAATCACTTAATCACTCACATCAATTGACATGGGTTTGAAGGCTGGGGGGCTGGCCAAGAACACTTGCTACTTGTTCGTCTCCGTGCCATTGGCTAACAGCTAGCGTTTTGCAAAGTATAGTCAGGTTTACCTTGCCACTTGCCGTGGTACAACCAAGACCAAGAGGTTACGGTTGCTCACTGTGTCCCCATGTCTATAAGTTCCCAGTCATGGGTTTCTCAGAGCTGGGGCAGCAAAGATTTCAAGGGCTGCAAATACTGCCGTAGAGATCGCAGCTACCCAAACCCCTTTCGGCAACTTGGCTTTAAAATTGATCTTTTTAGTTTGACTTCCAAGACAACAGATAACATTGACTATGGTGTGCGCAGATTTGCTTTTCCTTTTGAATTTGCATTCAGACAGCAGACGGACAAACACAGACGCAAGACTCAGGACTCAAGACAGGGCTTTCAGGTTACTACTGCAAGGTTTGTTTCAGCCTTTGCATTTTGATGTCTTTTCTCACAGCCAGCTTGGTTTGGTTGAGGTCTTGTGACTCAGACCCGGAGTTCTTGCCATTCCGAAGTGATAGACACAGCGAATGCCTCACCTGCCTCAGCCTGATCCGCAAGAAGAACCCGCAGAAGAACAGCCTCTTGGCTTCGTTGGGTAATTGACCATGGACAAACAACCGGGTATCCAACATGGCGGAAACCTGGCCACTGATAAACTCAAGTGTTGATACTGTTGAGACGGTCGAGTCATTACTGTTGATACCGTTGGGACAAGCAACGTTAAACAACGATTCAAACGATTCACTTGCGAAAACTCTTCCCACCAGCCAGCTTGGGACTGCGCTTCAAGCTGCAGGCACTGACGGACGCACACAGTTAGCGAAGAAGCTTGCTGAAGATGTTGGAGTATACGACACCCACATGAGTGATGTTCATGAGTATGAGGACCGGCACAGGTCTCATGAGAAATCCAGCTCGGCAAGCCGAAAGCGAAGATCCTGTGATCCGAATGAGCCATGGCTTCACTTTTTTGGCTTTTGTTGAACCTTACAGTCTGGCAGTTTACCTTGTAGTTTTTGCTTAGACCGTGTGGAACAAACCCATGTCACCATCACCATGTCGTTTTGCCAATTTCCGTTTGCGAGATGGCTATCCATATCTTTCAGATGATACCAAATAAAATCAAATCAGTTCATGCGATGTCATATTATATGATACCAGTCACCCTTCTTCATACGGTCTGAAAATATCAGAACTCTTAATCATGTATTTCGAAAAGTAAATTCGGACCGAATCTTTACAATATTGCATTGCTGCAATATTTGTTCAGTTGTTTTTTTAATATTGTTGAGATATTATCACATATCATTCATATTTTATCAGAATCTGATAATGATTATGATTTTGATTCATATCATATATTACATACATCATTACATCATCATTATATAAATTATATGATAATGATTATGATTTTGATTCATATCATATATTACATACATCATTACATCATCATTATATAAATTATTTATATATTATGTTTAAAAACAAACTAATTATATTTATAACAACTTTTAATTTTAACAATACATAATACATATTTTTTATTATTTATAATTAAATATTTAAATTTATATTATTATATAATTTAATATATTTTAATCTACTTATATATATATAATAAAACATAAAATTTAATATTATAAATTATATATATTGTATAAATACATAATACATAATATCATATCATATTAATACATAAGATTTCTTATCATACGATCATATTATAATATAATATATTATAATATTATAGTACATTATATTAGATTAGATATTTCAATGGCATTTGATCTTGATATGTGATATGTGTTTTTGTTACGGTTCGCACACACTGTGACTGAGTACTGAGTGCTGTCCCAGGCACCGATACACTGATACGACATTGGCAATGACATCGATGCTGGTGGTACTTGTTCCAATGCTAATACCTTTCCGATTCTGATTCTGATGATGCACAGCCATTCTAATAATCTACCAACATTATTTAAAATTACTTACATATAAACAACATGCAAATCATTTCAGTTCATATCATTTCATGTCAAATCAAACCGTATCATACAGTTTCATACAATGTCATTTGATAGCCCATAGCATCATGAATCATAGCAGTTCATGTCACATCGTATTGTATCATGTCGGTTAAGTGTTTTTTTGTACATATAATCGTGGATTTTGAAGCATACGCACTAGAGCACTGATAACTTATAGTCACTTAGCCTATAGCCTATAGCAATCATATAGCATATCGCCTATAGCCTATAGCCGTAGCCTAGCATCGACTAATATAAAATTTACAGCCTGCAGCCTATAGCTTGTAAAAAAGGTAATTCTCCAAGCGACCCAGTGGCCATGTGACTCATGACCCAACAACCACTGAAACAGACGTGAGACACGCTCTTATATAAAACCTAAAGGGGGATGATACATGAGAAGATCGCCAGCCAGGAAGTGGGACGTCACGACCAGACAGTCTTTATGAATTCGGAGTCCGGCTTGGAGGTGAGCAAATTTCTTGGCATTTTGTGGCCTCCTGCTATCTTCAAGGATCATGTTGGCCGGGACCCTGTCAAGGATGAAATCAGTGCCTTCGTCGGGATATCAGAAGCATGGTGTGTTTGCTACACGTTCTCGCTTACCCTTCAAAGGTCATGAATCATGACTATTCGATTGGTTCAAAAGTTGCGCACTCTCAAAACTTCCCAGTCAACACACCTGATGAACTAAGCAATATAATATATTATATTAATAATATATTATAACTTATTAATATATAATATATTATATTAATATACAATATATTTATATAATATTAATCTGAAAACAATGACTATGGTCAGAGTCAGAGTCATGGTCGAGGTCTTGGAGCACCATGGGCCATGGGCCATGGTCCATGGTATTGACAACTGATAACTCGGTAACTTATGCAATATAGTCTAGTCTAATAGTGTGAATAGTTAAGTCGTCAGAGTTAACAGACTAACAGAAAATGACCTTCGCCCCTGTTGAAATCACCGCAAGTGGCAAGTGTTCTTGTTTGGGGTCACATCAAGAACAGTCACAGTGGTTTTTCATTGCACTGTTCCATCACTGACTGGTTTGCATTTCAACATGTGACAGACTTCCGCTGCCTGCCGAGGCAAGTTTACTGTGGGTGGCCAGACTGTTGCTGGTGTGCTTCGACCGGTTTCATGTGGCGAACCCGCGGGAACCATGAGGATCACCGAAACGAAGAGGTCCTATGGCCAGCAGCAAGCCGTTGCAGCAACCTCGGAAGATGCGATCAACCACCAGGAAATTGGCGCTCAGTTCCAGTACCTGCAGAGTCTCACCGCTGTGCAGACGCAGGACTGGGGATGTTTGAATTAGTCGACCCGCCTTGTATGAGTCATTTTCCCTTTGTAAAGCATTGGCCGAATGCTTGTGGAGCATGTTGAGGCATTCGTAGATCAGATTTGATGTTGATGTATTTGTCGTAGTTTTGAACTGTGCGTCAAACTATTTGCTGTCATTTGCTCTCATTGACTCATAGACTCATAGTCGTCTTTTATTCCATATTAGTCTTTATAGTCTCACAGTCTCATAGTCATAGTCATAGTCTGAGTCTCATAGTCTCAGACTACTCATAGTCCTCATAGACTCACTCATAGTCTCATAGTCTTCATAGTCATAGTCAGAGTCATAGTCAGAGTCATAGTCAGAGTCATAGTAGTCTCATGACTTATAGTTTGTCCATAGTCATTGTCACCCTTCGACCCTTGATGTGCCCAACAATGCATAGACCTTTTAGTTTATAAATATACTTTATGCACTATATTATATGATATATATGATATATGAGTTAATTGTTTGGATAATATAACTGCATGAAATGATATGCAATGATATGATTACATCACACCACACATCATTACATCAATGTGAATGCAGGTCATTGCACTAATAATAATGGATTCTGTCACATCCGTGTAGTGTGAAAAACTCTGCATAACATGCCTTTCTTTTACTTGACAGTGTTTTAAAAAACAGAAGCAACAACGTATGATACAATGTCTCGACCAAAGAAACTTAACATGCACACCAAGGGATATTGACAATGATATAGTTCAC